GATTGATATACAGCTACTTTCTCTTAGTTCACTCAATGATTTTTAAGGAGCCACAAGCCACCATCCTGGCCACAGCAGCTCAGGGAAACTTCGCTGAGTCACGCATAGGAACTTCAGCCTCAAGGGAAGTTGAGCCATTTTCTTTACTTCCCTTGCAACTGGCATTAACAGAAGCCAGACATTCAGGGGAGTCCAAGGTGGGTTTTCAACTGATCTACTTTGTTTCCGAAGTTCAAGTCCCTCATAATCTAGGAAAAGTTGTAGGTCTTCATTAATCCATACCTTTTAAAACCTTAAAAGAATTGAAACGTGCTGTTGCTGCTTAGGGCCCCACTGCTCCCTTTACCTTGAGTTTAGTAGAAATGCTAGGACAGCATACTATGGCCCCAAATGGCTGGAAAAGAAGAGCTAAAGCATGTTTGAGTCCTGGAGATTATTTATTGTGGAAAGGAAATTTCTTTGACCATTGCAGGGAACAGGCAGCTGGAAATGTGTGGTTCACAACTTAGCCATCACCAAAGATTTGCTAATTGCAAAGTGTGCTTTTCTAGCACAAACAATCAGCTGACCTTTGCATTGCAAATATATGAGCAAACTAAGACAGCTGCCACTAGGGCCTGGAGGGAAGCTCCTTTGTCAGGGTGAAATGTTCTTTCTTCACTCTGGCTCCTAGTAGGCTGGCCCTGATACACCTCTCCAAGATGCTGCTGCAGTTTGTCACAAGCTACTGAAAAGAATGTCAGTGACACAGAAGCTGTCAAATTAATAGTTCAGCAATTGGCCTTTGAAAATGCAAATAAATGGTATAAAGAGGCTTAAGAGCCCACAAAAAGTATAGTTCCTGAGATGATTCAGATTTGTGTGGATATTGGCTCCTCATGTGCCTTGGCAGCGGCTATTACTCAGGTTATTTATCCACAGTCTAAAAAAGGGGGAAAAGTAAGGTTGTTTCCATTGTAGGGAGGAGGGACATTTAGCCTGAAACAATTTTTCAGACTGTACTTGGGAACATTAATTGGCTCCGCCCAGCTCTTAAGCTACGCATGAGTTAAGTCTTCTCTTTGACCTTCTCCAGGGAGACTCAGCCCCTGCTTCTCAAAAGAGCACTCACACCAGAGGCTAAGACTGCCTTGAATATCAAGTTACTCAGGCCCTCTACAGCACAGCTCTCTAGAGTTGACCTGGCTTTGCCAACATTTGTAATTATTTTCCCAACTCAGTATATGCCCAGTTGGGGTCTTTGGCAGTCTCCGGGTCCCTTACAACGGCTACACGTGCCACACACACCACGTAAAACTGTTAGTCCCTCAGACGCTACTTAAGGAGCTTCTGCGTTTCATGCCACTTTTTATCAAGATGCTTCTGCCTTACGCAAACAGCTTCATTCGACTCAAGCTCAGGCCTGGGAAATTGTTAAATGATGTTTTTCATCTATAAAACACTATCAACCTTTCCAGTTCTACAAAAGATGGAAGTAAAGCAGCAGAAAGACAATTCCATCTAATAAAAGCAAACAGGATAAAAAGGGTTCTTTGGAGAGATCTCCATACTGGACAATGGAAGGGACCCAGTCCACTACTAACCTGGGGGAGGAGGGATGCTTGTATCTTTCCAGAGAATGCTGAATGACCTATTTGCGTACCAGAGCACACTGTCGAGCTATACCATGAAGCCAGATCTAGAGAAGAAGCGAACGGGGAGGCCAGATCCAACCTGGGGTCTATTAAAGGAACTGACAAAATGGAAATCTAAGGTTTAAGTAGATGGTAAAATACATAAAGATAACTGAGCTAAGTTTTACTACTATTAGACTCAAAATACAAAATGTACATATTAGCGATAAAAGATCTTATTCCTTCCAAAATTTTCTGATAAGAGATCTCTGCTTTTTTTTTCTTTTTAAAAAATATTTATTTATTTATTTATTTATTTATTTTGTGTCTATGTGTGGCCAGCTCAGCCCACCAGGGGACGGGGCTGGCTGGCATGTGGTGCTGGGGGATTGAACCGCGGTCCCTGTGCTTTGCTAAGCTTGTTCTAAGTAGGTGCTTTAGACCACTGAGCCATCTCACCAGCCCAAGATCTCTGCTTATTGACAAATAACAAAATCTGACTAGTCTATTTACAATTATAAGTTTCAATTTTTTTTGCAATAGAGTTACTATAAGTTAATCTGGCCAGAAATATATAGTTGAATGCACTCATAATTTTGTAAAGATGGTTATTTGTGTGTATAGTATATTTGTCTATGTGTGTGTGTTCTGTGAACAGATGTTTCATTTTTTGTTTTGTTTTGTTTTAGTTTGTTGATCATTTGTTCATAATACTATATGGCTTAAAAGCATATTTTTTCCTAATTTACCAGCTGGTCTAAGTCATATCTGATAGGTTCCAGAGGCAACAGCGATGGCAGCAGTTGTGGTGGCGCAGCAGAGAAGCAGAAATGGGGGAGGGAAAGCCTTTATTGACTCTAAACACATGGAGGGGAGGAGGGCAGGGAGATGGGCAGATCCTCTGACCTGAGACAGGGAGCCTGAGACTTTATGGATGTCTGCCAGGGGCGGAGTTTGAGGGAAGGGTTTAGTGACGTATAAGGAGCTGACTGGAGGCTCCCTTGTGTGGGCGGGAAAGGTCACAGGAAGTTGTACCCAGGGCTGGAATGGAGAAGGAGGAGGAAGTGGTCATTGGGAAGATAAGCTGTTGCTTTTAGGGCTTCAGCCATATCAGAAGACCACCATAATTCAGCAATTCTTACTAGGGCCATAACCTATCAATATCAATATTGGTTCATACACAGTTCATTGAAAAATTTAAGTTAATTAAGCAAAAATTCCTTAAAGTGGGGAGAAACTATTCAGAGAAGAGTCCTACTGATGAATGAGAGGTGTGGCCAACCTTCTTGTCCATTCATGAGGTGCTCCCAATAATTTCAGTAGTCTCTTAGGAGACACCCTCAATAAATTGGTCATTGGTTTAAAGATAAAAGTCTTTCAGAAAAATTACAATTGGGTTGCTCTTCAAAATGGTTTTGGAAAAAAAATGGTTTTGTTATTCAACTAAATTAAGAAGTAAATGTTTGCACATGCGTACGGTGGTAGCTCATTATTGTTAGTCTCATGGTTTCTTAATGTATCCATGATTCCAAGTGTACAGGTCTTCTAAAATATTAAACAAAGATTGCTTATTGTAATAAGACTTTCTTTCAAAAAAAGGAGGGGGGAGAAAGAAAAAACCTTGTGATGTATATTCCATTTAAGGATAATTAGTTAGGTAAAAATTCTAATGTATTAGAGAAGATTTGTTAAAAGAGTTGTTATGTCAAAATGAAAATGTAAACATGTCACAAAAAATCATAGGATTGTCTTGTTTCAATATTGTATATGATTTGATCTCTAAATTTCTGTGTAAAAATCTGTAATTGTTATTTTTTAACATTATATAGGGATTTAAATATTAGAATATTCATGATGTTGGACAAGAACAGCTCCATTTTATGCCTAAGGTGTTTGATATTCAGATAGGGAGTAATGTTAAGCTCAATGGCCTCTGTTACAGGGTAATCATGTCATTAAGCTTCTTTCCTGGATGTTTAACAACTAAAGTTTGCAGACCAAAAATTAGAGAAAAAGAAGGGCTACAAGGATAGCCAATATTTTGGCCCTAGCCCTTCAAGGTCAGTGAAGAATCAGGACATCAGAGCACCTGTGCTGTGACATCCTGTAACTCAGTGGTGGCTCAAATTTCCTGATCAAGGAGATTATGGGGTCACAGAGGAAAGTGATTGGTGATGTAGAGTGTGCCTAAGGAGAGTCACATGGAGAGAAAACATTCTCTCAGGCTTTCATAGACAGTCACGGTCAAGCAATGGCCATGACTCATCCAGATGGCTGACACTGGTAGAAGATCTAAGAGGTGCTGTATGTGGTTCCAAGGCAAATCCTGAGATTTAACTGATCTTGTAAGATAGCAAAAGTTATGCTTGTAATTGTACACATCTTGCTTTAACTTGATCTTAACCATCCAGTAGAAAAGCGTAACCATGAGGTATGAAAAGCAATATGCTGAGATGTGAAAGGCTCAAGCCAACAACTTCTGACAATTACCAGCTGCGCTGATAATTTTCAAATATTATGGACTATTGGATTATGTGGGATTATATTGCTGAATTCAAGTACCTACAATCTGGCATCAAGTATGAAAAGGTCCTCCAAAGACTTCTCCAAATACAGCTTCTCTAACTGCAGTGGAACACCCATCTCTGACAATACAAAACAAAAAAGGGGAATATGAAGGGAGCTGTTGAAACTGGAAAATCAGCTAAAGTTGTGTAGGCAGGACTAGGCCTCAGTGCCCAAAGCAAACAAGATACCTCAGTCCTGAAATAAGCATCCTGATTGATTAATGTCAGCTACTAGTCACTAGGCAACCTTGTGTCACGTGTTACTAACTTTGCAAAAGGTATAAATGTAGGTCTAATTGTGCTGGCACGTGAGTCTTGGCCATCAGGCAGACTACTGACCACCTAGCCCAGCTTTTGTGTTATTGTCTATATTTCTCATTCCTGTTGCCATGTCTCCCCAGGTAGAACTATTCTCAGTAAGACCAACAGATCTCAACAGAAGGTGTGGTTCCCATAATTTCTCTTTCAGTGTGTTCTTTGTCTATGGAAGTGCTTTGGTTTTTCAGCATTGGCTTTGTGTCCTGCCATGCTACTGCATTTGGTTATTAAGTCTCCAAGTCTCCGGAGTTTTTGGGGTCCTCTATGTAAAGTATCATATCATCTACAAATAAATGTAATTTTACTTCTTTCCAATCCTTATTCCTTTTTTTTTTTTTCTGGGTACAATGGGCTTTATTGATGGTGTGCAAGGGCAGCGAGCCAGGGATCTCAAGGCCCTTCCCCTTCTAGGAGGCCTAGGATGGAAGCTGTGAGGGGGAGATTCTCAGTATCGGGGCTGAGTAGGGCAGTGACGACTTCTACAGCATGGCCTCTCCATCCCTCTGGTCTCACTGGGCTGTGGTGGTGGGGGCCACTTACTCCTTGGAGGCCATGTGGACCATGAGGTCCACCACCCTGTTGCTGTAGCCGAACTCGTTGTCATACCAGGAAATGAGCTTCACAAAGTGATCATTCAGGGCAATGCCAGCCCCAGCATCAAAGGTGGAAGAGTGGCTGTCACTGTTGAAGTCACAAGACACAACCTGGTCCTCAGTGTAGCCCAGGATGCCTTTGAGGGGACCATCTGAGGCCTGCTTCACCACCTTCTTGATG